CCAAGAAATTATTGAAAAAAAGACATCAGGTTTTCTGTACCGCCCATCAACCATTCCAAGGTACTGCTGACGTATGTTGTATGCGAGTACAATAGAGCGCTCATCCATTTATGTTTGGTGTTGTTTTCCGTCATCTTATTTTGCTACATATTGGTGTTGAAGATGGGGAAAAAAACAACTCACTTTGATGAAGTGTCGTGATATCACCTACAGGCAACATACTGTCATTTTTATGTTGTCAGCCTTTATGATGCCACTCTTTAATTGAGACGGAACCTTTTGCGCTATGATCTACCTCACGTTATGGTTGTTCAAGTATGTCTATCAGGTATATGAAGACCAAGCTGCTCAAAGCGTTTCTGTGGTCCGCTGTTGACTCAGTGGGTTGTCCTCGAAGCTTTCGGGTCATGTTATGCGCAATGAAACATTGTGCCATGAATGCCTGATACAGCACAGGCGTAATGTACAGTCCCATAATGTCACTGGCTGTGACACCTGTCTTCTCAATGTGACCGGGAACGGCAGCTGCATTGAAAAGAGGAAGAATAACGTCAGCATTCAATAACGCCTTCCAACATGTACTGAGCTATATTTTTCCCGTAAGTGGTGAGGAATTAAAAACTCCTCTCGCTCCTTTTGTCGAGGAAATGCAAAGACATTTTTTTCACATTTCTCTTTAGCTTGTTTTACAGAGAACTGCTCAGTTTACTGTGAATCAAAAGTAACTCGTCAACTTTTCACATCACTGTTGAATTATCTTTTTTTGTTCTGGCTGCAGGTGACGAACGGCACCGAACAAACACACGCTTTTTTTTTTTTTTACTGTTTATATTTGAGTTTTGTGATGTCGCTATCATGCTTAAAATGAGCTCTGTCTGTAAATGCCAGACAGGAATAGACGGGAGTAATAGAATGCCGCTTGCTGCGATTTAAAACGCTAGACGGACCAACAAGGCAATTTGAGGGTTAAATCCGATACAGCAGTTTACACTGCGGATGGATGTTCCAGAGCACAGAGGAGTCCCGTGCTATAGCGGAACTGCAGATCCCACACAGATCGCTGCCAAGCCCGGGTGGATTTGCTTCAATCCCATGAGCGTGTGAACATTTGCACGGAGGGATCCATTTTGAAGAAGGATGCTCAGAAAAGACGTCTCTTGCCTCTCTGTATGAGAGGCAGAGGAAGCGTTTGCGATGTAGCGCCATGAAGCGTAATCTGAGATTACAATTAGCATTGTCCCAAAGAGAATATTCTCATCCAGCGTGTTCTAGCACACCACTGATGGGACGTTGTGTTTTTTCTAGCAATGTTATTGAAGTGATCATTTGACACTTTATAAAATTTAATCTGTAGAAATAAAGCATTGAATATAGATTTTTTTTTTTTTGCATGTTTCCTACCTTGTTAAAACATTGTAAATATTGTGAGAACCTGTCTACATTATAAGTGTCTTTGCAGTGATGAATATCATTTGAAATTAAATAATGTGATTTTCAGTTAGTCAAGATTTTTTTTCTTCAGTTTAGAATTGTGTTTGAATTTATTAGTAGGCTTTTGCATTATTCAGTCGCCAAGAAGTTGCGCTCGGTTTCAAAAGGGTTTGCCCTTTCTCCAAACCATACAAGTTCACCCGATCTACTATGCTAAGAGCGTTTTGGGGACTTGCACTCTTGATTTTTATGTTTCAAAATTAAGCATCCAATTTGTGGCTTGTTAGGTGCATGTTGATGTCCACACAGATTAGAAGTTTTATTAATGAACAATAAATGGAGTTGAATATCAACTTGGTTTTTTTCTGATGTCTGTGCAATCAGAGTGGTTGTGAGGAATTGGCTAATCATTTAGATTTATTGTTAATTTTAGTCCAAATTGAGTTTAAAAAGCTATTAATAATCAAAATGCTTTTTCCAAGATACTATTAGAATAATTGTGTATGGATTCAACACAGCTCATCATCAAAAAAAAATATTTTTTTTTGGATCAGCTATCTTGCTGACATGCATTTTTTACACTGATGAGGAATTATTTTACTAAAGAGGCAATGTTTCATCAGTCATTTAGAATTGGTTCTTGTTGGAGCGTTAATAAACATGCCTTTATAAAGTATGCTGAAAGATTGTTGAAGCCAAAGTGAGTAACACGGGAAAGATCACGACACTGCAAATAGGCCAGTGTTAAAAGTTCAGGAACAGTGTTAAAAACAGAATCTTGGTGTTATATTAACACCGTTTAGTAATAAAATAGCCTGTGTAGTTCATACATTGTTAAAATGGGGTGTAAACTCCATTCAACCCTGCTTGGTGTGTATTTGAAATTGAAACCACACCCAGATGAATTCACACCAGTAGATTTGAAGTGTAAATTTGTTTGTGGGGAATTGCTGAGTTCACAAAATCAACAATAACACAAAATTAATTATCTGATTTTATATAGCTGATCAGATCATCGGAAAGTCTTAGACAGGTTTATTTTCCCTGACCCCCTTTTTTTAATTTTTTTTTTTTTTTAATCAAGGCAATCTGCCTGGATGTACCAAGGTTGCTACATACTGCAGGAGTTTGTTTACGTGTTCAGCGACGCAGGCTAATTTCTCTCTGGTAACAACACCTTTATTCGTGTCATGTTCAGGGATAGTTTTGTCGTTACATTACGAATGGAAAAAAATCGATTGAAATGGAAAATGAGATTTTTCGAGAAAAAAAAACTGGCATTTTATTTTAAGGCCAATATTTTCCAGCCCTACTCCCAGCTGTGCGTTCCATCTGTGTGACGGTCCATCTGTGTTGTGCCTGCTCCCAAGTTGCTTGGTCGTAATCCCCCAAGCATGGCCCGAGCGTCTCCTTCGAGCTGCCAGCATTGGCCGTGCCTTGTGGCATGAGGCTTGTGTTGGCACCAGTTGTTTGTGCTCAGGCAGGACAAAAACACATCAGTCGGTGGGGCAACTGAACAGCCATCTGTACAGGAGCTCTTTTAAATGATTTTTTAAATCACAACTCAAATGATGCTGGGATGTCATTTTGTCCTGACATTATGTTTTTATTGCAATTTGGCCAGTCGGTTTATGACAACATTGCAACCCACCAGATCCAGTCGATTTGCTTTTTGTTTTTTTTAATTGCGATAAGCGAATCAGATGATGGATGGATGGATGGGGGGACAAACATCTTGAGTGTGTGATTCCACGGGTGCCAGACGAGTTTGCGGAGGTCCGCTGTATAGAAAATGAGTTCTAAAGAAATATCATTTGACTTATTTCAAATGATTCACAATAGTACACAACAATGATTTTTGTTTTGGCTCAAAACTGAATGCGGTCCTTTCACATTTGTAGCCGCCTGCACCAGCTACTGTAACCCCAAAGTAAGATGTTTCAAAAGTTTGTTTACCCACTCTTTCTTGCCTGTTCACTTTTGTTCATTTAAAAAGTACAAAGGCATTTTGGGATGTAAATCCAATTGTCTTCCTGGCAAGCACTGCAAATGTCAGCCCACTAAAAAGAAAAAAAAAAACAAAACACCACAGTGGTCCCTGTGTGTTACCTCAGCAACAAGCGCTGCAGGAGGAAAACGTCAAACTGCATGCCTTCAAAGGGGAATGTGTGCGTCAAAGGGAGAAAAGAAGGGAGGGTGAGACAAAAGCAAATAAAGCAATTTAGATTTGTTTTCCCTGCATTTTGCGGGGCTTTCACTTCATTCGGATCAATTTGTAGCTTTAGAACCAAATGAATATTTCTTGCGAAAATGAAAAAAGTATAAATGTCGACCAAAAATGGAAGTACACATTGTCTGCCTTGACACGGAGTATTGCTATTTGACTTGTTTGCATCGGTGTTTCCATGGTGGCTGACCAGTTGGACATAACCGTAAATTAGACCTCCTTAAAGAGTCCGTCCCAATTGGAATTCTATCTTTTCTGCAGTCATGTTAATATTCAGATGTATTTTACCCCTCTACTCAAGTGCTGCAGTGTACTTTGTGTAAAAGGATTGGGGGATGGGGTGGTGATCTCATTCAAACTTGCTCACTCCTCTTGTGTCGAGTCCCGCCATGAGCTGCCTGAGGAGTTAATGACTGCGGCTGCCAGGCCAAGAATGTGTGGGGCCACTTGTGGCGATTTATGCCTTTGCGTCCCATTTAGGGTCTTGTTACCCAAATCGTTAGCCGGTTGCCACGTTAAATACAAGTAGACATGATGCCGCTGTACGCGGAAGTCATCTAAATATGGAGGGACGTATGAAATATTCTCCTCGATTAGGCTGACAGACAAGCAATCATTTTACATCCATCTTTTACTACCCTCTCGACTTGATAATGTTTTAGGAGCGGCCATTAAACATGTGGAGATGACATGATGTAGGAGCACAGATCAAGAATGAGCAGCGGAGGCGCTGAGGACAAGGTCGCACTAACAGCTGAAGGAGGTGACCTTCATCTCCTCCTCTCAGGGGGTTGCTGTGACCAAGGCTGCGCTTTAATGTCATTGACTCGATTAGTGTGGCCTTATTTTATCTTTGGACCAAGCAAGAATACAGTAGACGTGGCATCGAATAAGAGAGTATCCTAACACGTTGGAGCAATAGTCGGTGAGGATGTTGTGTGTGTCAGTTTGCTTAGTCATCCATGCGAGCAATATTGGTTGGTTGTGATGTCACTTGCTGCGCATATAATGTTACACATTGTTGTTAGTGTACGTATACTGTCACCGGAGGCACTGATTTGGAAAAAAAGCGCAAACAGTTGAGGAAACTTCTCTGTCTGCCGATGTTGGGGGAAGAGAGTTGTCGAGATGCATTGCTTTGTTTCACCTGCGGCTCTTTGTGAAAGCGCTATATGAATAAAATCGAGTTGGGTTCAAGTTAACAAAGGTAATTGTTTTTGTCGGGACAAAGACATAATCTTGTAAATTGTATTTTCCACAACGTCTTATCAAAATTCTCCTCAAAGTCTATCGAGGACATCTTGTGTTTATCTCGCTGTGATCTTTTGTGTGTGTCTTCTAGAGCGCAGCAATGGAGGAGACTGTCATTTGGGAACAGCACACTGTAACACTGCACAGGGTGAGTATTCAAAGATAGTCTTTACAAATTAAGATCTTTCTTTGAAAACTCTGTCCTGGTAATTTCTCATATTTTTTTTGTCTCTAGAACCCAAGAATGTGTATGAAACAAAAAATGCAGATGAATCCTTTTTGGGACACATTTTCATGAAGCTTTTTGCTGAATGACCCATTGATTAAAGCACGACCAAAATGAGTAAAAGCATGTTATCAACATAAAATCAATGATTCTAATGTATTACACTGGGGAACAGATGAATTTTTGTTGAGTTAGCTTTCTGTTTGCGGATATTGATAGTCCTGACCTATTGGGAGCTGCACATAGCTCTCACTGCACGGCCTGAGTTGTGACTGCACAAAAAAAGTTGCCACAATCTTAATCATATTCAGCTCTTCTTACTAGAGTCTTACAACAGCTCATCAAGAGAATTTTGCTTCTTTCCAGGTGAAGCTGTAAAGAAAAAAAACTGGACATGCTAGAAATTTTGGAATCCCCTTTCCAATTTTAGTTTTAGTCAGCATAAAAATTTTACAACGGATTTTTTTTTTCTCAAAACCGTTCCCCAGTGTTAAATATTGCATTAGTCTGGTTGTAGCTCATCCTTAATGGCTTGGGCTTGGGAACTAGAGAGTCACAGTTTGGATTTGTAACTAGTTGTTAGAGAGATGCCATTCTGCATCTTGACATCTGTCCAGGTGCTTTGAGCAAAGTGCTGAAGGCCCCCGTACTCGACTCACGGGTGCAATTAGCATCATCACACTGATATTATTCCATGCATGCTTGCATTTTGTGTGGTCTACACTGAACCAATGGTCTAATCTCTGTGGACTGAATATTTCCCCTTGGAGGATCTTAATTGTTTCAGTGTAAATAAATGACCTATGTCATGTATTTATTTTAAAATACAGGCACCAGGGTTTGGTTTCGGGATAGCCATATCAGGAGGCCGAGATAACCCTCATTTTCAGAGTGGCGAAACCTCCATTGTCATCTCAGATGTGCTGAAAGGTGGCCCGGCTGAAGGGCTACTCCAGTAAGTTCTTCAACTATCATTGGCAGCGCACTCTGATCAGTTCCACATTTTCCACCTTGCTCCAGAACAACTCCAGCATGTCTCCTCTTCTTAATAGGGAAAATGACCGAGTTGTCATGGTCAATGCCGTGTCCATGGATAATGTGGAACACGCCTATGCAGTTCAGCAGCTTCGTAAAAGTGGGAAAATTGCCAAAATTGTGAGTTAAATTGTGTTATTCAATGTTGGGAAATAGTGTCTTTCCGTCAGTAATTCAAAAATAGAAAATGGACGTCCCCTGAGCTGACTTTAATCAATGTGATTGATTCCTGTCTCTGTAACCAGTACTTCCTCGCATCTTATTTACTTTGAGCAGACAATCAGACGAAAGAGGAAAGTTCACGTCCCATTGGGTCGCCTTGGGGAGCGGGAAACGATGTCGGAGCATGATGAGGAAGAGGACAGCTACGATGAAGAGATATACGAGACGCGGAGTGGACGGAGTGGCGCCTACAGCAGTATGGGCGGAGCCATGGGCAGGCGCAGCGGCCGGAGCTGCGGCCGAAGGGACAGGGAACGTGAACGTAGTGGCTCACGGGAGAGAAGTCTTTCACCGCGGTCGGATCGCCGCTCACACAACCTGCCTCCGCGCCCTGCTAAGGTCACGCTGGTGAAATCGCGCAAAAATGAAGGTGAGGCTCACAAAGTCGGGGATAGAAGAGAGGACGATAATTAGTCCCAACTGTTAATCCAGGAACATCTCCTCCCACTTTATTTCCCTCTGGGTCAGATTCAAAAATCTTCCAAGTCAATTTTGGTCAACTTCCAGGGAACACAAAACTTGCCAGCCACAGCAGAATCCAAGTTACTCAAATCTTAGTAAAAAGAGAAGCGGAATTAATCTTTTTTTTAATCTTCACTGTTAATCCTGGCGGAAGCAGCATCCGAGCGTAGTGTTGCGCCATGCTGTCTTGTCAACTCTGTGCTAACCTTGTCTTTGTTGTTTTGTTTGTTTACCAAGCAGAGTATGGCCTGCGCTTGGCCAGCCACATCTTCGTCAAGGACATCTCCCCCGAGAGCCTAGCAGCCAGGGATGGCAACATCCAGGAGGGTGATGTTGTACTGAAGGTGAGGGGAGGCTGGTGGGGAAACATCAAATAGTGTTAAAAATCTATGAAGCAACTGATTATGTTGCATGCTGTTCTTTTTGTCATAGTTAGGAAAAATAAGGAGTGCTAATGTAGTGGAATTGAAAAGTAGCAGCCACTCTGGGGTTTTTTTTTTTTTTAAACTGCTGTTTTGTGCTGTCAAATGTTGCATAACAGCATTTAGCTGGTGCGCTTCCAGAATCGCCACTGGTTTTGCACGACACATAAAATAGCACTATGTGCAGAACAGGTATTTATTTATTTCAAACTGTAACTGTTCTCAATCAATTGTTCCGTCAACTCTTTTGTCTCTCAACATCAGAATAAAGGTTTGTTTTATTTTGTTTTTTGTTTTTTTTCAACCTATTCAACCTTTCGAATACATCTCTATACACTCTCCATCATCTCACTGTCTGCAGTCAAAGAAATCAAAAATAAGATCTGTAATTTAAAAAAAAAAGCATGCTTACCCAAAATCAGTGCTACAGGGACACTCACTCACCACTCTTAATGGGATGCATTACAGTTTTACAGCAATTTAAGACATGCTTCTCTGAGAATATTAGTCAAGACAAAGAATTAACATCGCTACAGTTCTTTTATTGGATCTTACTGGCCTGTGTTCCGAATGAAGTCGGTTGATTTCTCTCTGAAAAGGATGACCAGTGTTGCCGTTGATCTGCATCCAATCACGACTATTAAATATGGTACTTAAGTGGCAAACTAAAGGTTTAAAAATGTCTGGCTGTGGGGAAATGGTTGCCATATCATAGATCATATAACCACCTGTCTTCTGATTCTCGTAGATCAATGGCACCGTGACCGAGAACCTCTCCTTGATCGACGCCAAGAAGCTGATAGAAAGGTCAAAGGGCAAGCTAAAAATGGTTGTTCAGAGAGATGACAGGGCGACCTTGCTGAACATCCCTGACCTCGATGACAGCATTCCTTCAGCCAATGCCTCCGACAGAGACGGTGAGATTGCTAAGTGAGAACTGCTCACCGGCTGCGGGCGCTTAACGGTGTGTGTGCTTGCTTGTGCGTGTGCGTGCGTGCGTGCGTGCGTGCGTGCGTGTGTGTGTGTGTGTGTGTGTGTGTGTGTGTGTGTGTGTGTGTGTGTGTGTGTGTGTGTGTGTGTGTGTGTGTGATATCAGACATTTCAGATATCCATTCTCTGGCATCCGACCATTCCAATCGATCGCACGACAGACTTCGTAGCAGCCGCTCCCGCTCTCCAGACAGACGATCGGAACCCTCAGACCACTCCAGACACTCGCCACCTCAAATCAGCAATGGCAGGTGAAGACCTGCAATCCACAAAATCTTGCATCATCGCATGCATTATTTTGTAAATAGGAATACGTTTATTGGGGTCATTTTTGTATCTCTACAAAAATCTATTTTAATACCAAACAATAGTGACTAATGAAAAATTCAAATGTTTTGTTCAGAGGAAAACCCAACATTTAACTGTAAACTTTTTTTTTTTCCATCTAAAACATCATTCCATGGTACTAACCTCAAGCAGAGTTCTTTTTTAAAAAAGTTTCTCACAAATTTGCATCACATTTGTAAAATGTAACCATTAGTGGGAAGATATGAAAATAAGGTTTTCATAAAATGCATCACTATAAACCTTATCTCCCCAACCCCCCTTTTGTGGCCAGTTGAAGAATACCGTAAATTGATGGTTCATGTAAATTGTGGCTGCAGTACCGTAATTAGTTGAAGAGCTCGTGTTATTTAGTACAATTGTGAAAATCTTGCGAATTTAATGTAAAGCACAGAGTCAGAGAAGTAGATCCACATTATTATTTTGGGGACAAACTTTAAACTCACACCGATATTTCCAACAAAGAAATCTTGACTTTTCAAGCAATGCACTTTGCATTTGAGAGTACAGTATTGCAACAAGGATCTGCATCTATTTTGTACACAGTATTTTAAACTTTACAAAAAGTTGCACATTTCTATAGGTGTATTATTGCTCCCTTCATCATTTAGCGAAACAGACTGGAGTGGTCACAAAATTTCAATCAAAAGTCAAACAAGACACTTTAGTGACGTTATTGAAACAGTTGCTCTCGATTAATGTGAAGAATATTTTACCCGGTATTTCTGGTGGGGGATGTTTTGCTGCGTTGCCTTGTATTTAAGCGATTGTCATATTGGACTTAAGTGACGTTAGTAATGTCGCTGAATAAACACTTGGACCGTAAATGCGGCTACAATAGCAGTGAATTCAAAAGGCCAAAGCTGTTGACATCCCTCAGCCACATGCCACAGCATTGTATAAATTCGCACTCTTGGTCAGCATTCTTCCAGCATTGCGGTAAACAAAGCGGCATGTTAATGTCTCTATTTTACGGCGTTGTGCACAATCTTCATTCCTGTTTATTTGAGCCTGATGCTGACATTTGTAATAAACGGCTCTTTTTTGCAGTAGGCTTAGAGGCATACAGTAAGGTCTTACCAATCTACAGGCTGTTAAGCGTCTGCATGGTCACCTTGAAGAAGGAAGATAAAGATGCTCTATAAATAGAACATATGAAAGAGGAAAGTTGTGACCTCAGACTCACGCGGTTCAGTTGTCCTCTTTTTATTTTTCCTGTTCCTTTCTGGGGGGTCTCCATAAATTTAGTGTTTAGTGTAGTACAACCCTGTTTGTTCTTCTTTTTTACCAAAGATGATGCCTTTATTACCTCAAGACTCTTACAGTGCAGCATTTGATGGTGACCTGAACAAATCCATCTCTTTTCGACCGCAGTCACAGAAGTCGAGATGAAGAGCGGCTATCAAAAGGGGCTTCAACACCAGCAAAGCTTTCGGAGGAAATTCCTCTGCCCAAGCCGAAAGAGCCAACTCTCACTAGAGATGAGAAACTACTTCCGCCGCTCCCAGGTCAGACACTCGAGCGTCAGCAGTTGAACCCAACCTTTCTTGATGTGTTTCCTGGGTCATATGCAACACAACAGCCCTGACTAAGAAATCTTTGCAGGTTTTTTTTTTTTTTTGGTTCCCTGTTTGTTTTAAATACCGGTACATGAATTCCAAGAAAAAGTTCAGCTTCAGATGCCTGCTGAGCCAGGGTTAACTTGCCTGGAGCCAAGTGAAAATAAACCATATGATCTTATTTAGTCTGACGTCTCATTCCAGCCTGCAGCTCTCTGCTTCCTCTCTGTTTGTCCTTTCCGCTCAGGACTCCCAATTTCCAATCCAAATTCACAGTGTCCTGCTCAGGCCTCATTTTCGACCGCATGACGTCTACTCGACCCCGCGTGCTTTCCAAATTCTCGAAATACAGTTCGCAGGCATAATGTGAATTTGGACACCATGTTTGGTTCATGGCAGAAGTGACATCATGCATCCTTCGCAGGACCCGACCTGTGAATTTGGATCACTGTGTGTGCCTTCTGTGTTTGTGACAATTATTGCGCGAGTTTCTTTTAAACGTATACCTCTTGTTTTGATGACGCTCATCTGTCTCAGAGCCGAAGCCAGTGTACGCCCAGCCTGGACAGCCAGACGTGGACCTGCCTGTCAGCCCCTCCGATGCCCCTGTGCCAAGTGCTGCTCACGATGACAGCATCCTTAGGTATTATTAATCGTATTCATTTTTAGCTGCGTCCCAAATGTCGCCTCCCAAAAGAAGAAAATGCTCAGTTTTAAATGAGACTATAAGGAGCGGTTGGAGTTTTCAACTATAAAGCAAAAGTGACCGTAATCTCTGTGGCCATCTGCAAAAGCAGGTGACCGTACTTGACGAGAAACAAAGGAGGGCAGCATTTGCAGGAAATACTATTTTTTTTAGTTAACGACACAAAGTTGAAGAAAATACAAAGTAGGGCAGCATTCTGAAATCCACTCGTTATTCGCTTTGCTTTGGAAAAAGCAAAAATTCCATTCAAGTTGATCCATGTCGAATAAAATCTGACTGTTTTCTTTGTCCTCCATCCTCAGGCCAAGCATGAAGCTGGTCAAGTTCAAAAAGGGTGAGAGTGTGGGGCTGCGGCTCGCAGGAGGGAATGATGTTGGCATCTTTGTTGCTGGAGTGCTGGAGGATAGTCCGGCTGCGAAGGAGGGCCTGGAGGAGGGTGACCAAATTCTCAGGGTACTTTTCTTTGTATCCCAAAATAAAGTGTTTTAAGGTGAAGGCTTCTTGAAAAGTCAGTTGTTTTATTGAACATTTTTCACTTTTCTGAATGTGAACAAAACGGAGTGCCAAATTGCTCTACGCAGTTTTGGCTAATTGTGCATGCAGCTGAAGCTCTCCCTTTTTATTCTTCCTCATGTACAGTGCTTGCTCCAAAATTCCTGTACCTCTGGGCCAGTCTCTTGGCAATGACTTTGGCAGCCTATAGCCAAATAAAAAAACCTATTTCCTTTGACTGTGTGTACCATTTCCATGCAGCCATATATATATCTCTTTTTGTCCTCCTTTTTTTGAGAAATGGTTTGCATTCTTACACTCCACTAAAAAAAATGTAAGTTTCCCTGGCAATATGGAGAACAGGGAGATCTAGGAACCCATAATTTACAGATGTCGACCCTTCACCATGCTTTCAGTTGTGAGATAGCCCTACGATTTAACTTAAATGCACCAAAAAGATGTAACCTTTTTGAGAATAAAAGCACCAGGCCTAACATGGTTTGTCTAATTGCAGGTAAACAACGTAGATTTTGCAAACATAATCCGAGAGGAGGCAGTGCTGTTCCTCCTGGATCTTCCTAAAGGTGAAGAGGTCACCATTTTGGCTCAAAAGAAGAAAGATGGTAAGTCAAGAAAATGACCTTAGGATAATCTGTCTCATCATTCCAAATCGAAATCAGGTTATTGCTCTTTTCATTTCATTTATTCATGAATTTATTTCTTTTTTTTTAGTCTATCGGCGGATCGTGGAGTCTGATGTGGGTGACTCCTTTTACATCCGGACCCACTTTGAGTACGAGAAGGAATCTCCATACGGGTTAAGCTTTAACAAGGGCGAGGTGTTCCGTGTGGTGGATACCCTCTACAATGGCAAGTTGGGTTCCTGGCTCGCGATTCGCATTGGCAAGAACCACCAGGAGGTGGAGAGGGGCATCATCCCCAACAAAAACAGGTGACCTCATCCTCAAAAACAGATAACACAAGCCACAAGGGACACTTAAAAAATATACAGTCTGTGTTTAGTAATCTTTATGTTCCGTCTTGTTTATTAATTCAGATTTTAGTTAACTTGATTTAGTCACAAATGGGGCAAAATATACAATATGATGCTTGTTAATACATTGCAATGTGGTCGTCCACTCCTGCCGAATTGTCATTGTGCTGTTAAAGTAATACTTAAATCCAAACATTGCATTATGTTCTTTGTAGAGGAAGATCTTGATGCAGCACCGGTATCTGGTGATCTCATTCGATTATGCAGGGTAACCTGAAGTGTCTGGTTTATGTTGGCTTTAGCAGGAAGTTTGATCATCAAAAAAAATGACTTGCAGAATAAATGGAGCGTATTTGGACAATGCGTCTTGTTATTTATTTTAAATCTGTCATTTCCTTGAAATGCTCTTGGTTGCTGGCAGTATTGAGATTAGCGTTGCCAAGTTTATGACACATCCATTACTTTGTGCGTCAAGTGTTATCTGCCTTCCTGCGATATGTCGACAGAGCGGAGCAGCTCTCCAGCGTGCAATACACACTCCCCAAAACAGCCGGCGGCGACAGGGCGGACTTCTGGAGGTTCCGTGGTCTTCGCAGTTCAAAGAGGAACCTCAGGAAGAGCCGAGAAGATCTTTCCTCTCAGCCAGTCCAGACAAAGTTCCCAGCCTACGAGAGGGTTGTATTGAGAGAAGGTGAAACATCTGACCGCACACGTGCCAATATGACATCATTTGAGTTGTATATCATTACATCACGAGTTGTACAATTTAATTTATGTGTGATTATAGCTGGTTTCTTAAGACCTGTTGTGATATTTGGACCTATTGCCGATGTCGCACGGGAAAAACTCGCCAGAGAAGAGCCAGATCTTTTTGAGCTTGCAAGTACGTTTACATATCATGTTTGGAACATCAGTACAACATGCACAAGGTATGATTTATTGTCGGATTTCCTTAATTGTTGATATTCCTTTCCAGAGAGCGAGCCCAGAGATGCAGGTACCGACCAGCGCAGTTCAGGAATTATTCGTCTTCACACCATCAAACAAATCATAGATAGAGTGAGCTCTGTTTTTATATTTTATTTTTTTGTCGTTGAATTGGATATCCACAATACATTGTTCTTATTTAATCACCCCAATGCATCTTCTCATCATCTGTGCCTTCTTCCAAGGACAAACACGCTGTGCTGGACATCACCCCGAATGCTGTGGACAGGCTGAACTATGCTCAGTGGTACCCAATCGTAGTCTTCCTAAATCCCGACAACAAGCAGGGTGTGAAGAACATGAGGACAAGGCTGTGTCCAGAGTCCCGGAAAAGTGCCAGGAAGCTGTACGAACGAGCCATCAAGCTGAGGAAGAATAATCATCACCTGTTCACCAGTGAGTGGCCACGGAATATTAAGAGGCACTAAAAAGCTGAGTTATTGCCTTTTCATTAATTACCCCCAAATTCTCTTTTATAGCCACCATTAACTTGAACAACATGAATGACGGTTGGTACGGAGCTCTTAAGGAGACCATCCAGCAGCAACAGAACCAGCTGGTGTGGGTGTCTGAGGGAAAGGTGAGCAATGGACACTTTGGATTTTGGAAATCCGTCACCCTTACAATGCAGTGCGAATCATTAGCCCGAGGGTAAATGGTTTCTTCTCAGGCGGATGGCACCACGGAAGATGACTTGGATATCCACGACGACCGTCTGTCCTACCTGTCAGCTCCAGGGAGCGAGTACTCCATGTACAGCACGGACAGCCGCCACACATCGGACTACGAAGACACGGACACGGAGGGCGGAGCCTACACGGACCAGGAGCTCGACGAGACCTTGAATGACGAGGTGGGTCTGCCCACGGAGCCCGCCATCACACGGTCTTCCGAACCTGTGAGGGAAGATCCACCCGTCATTCAGGACACCCCTGGTTACCCCGGATACCAGCACCCGGTGCCACCCGATCCAACTAATCGTATCGACCCCACTGGCTTCAAGATGCCATCTCCGCAGCAGGTACTGTTCCTCGTCCTTTAAACCACCATAGTGTGTGCTCGCACCTCTGTGAATTGATGTACTGTATAGACAGTAACTCTGAAGTAGAGGTTAATTCCTTTTGTCATCTTGGTTGTTGGCTAAGGCCATGTCCACACAAACAATTCACTTTTTCACTTCTCTTCTCCTCATTCAAACTTTGTTTTGGTCATTGAAAACTCAGGATGCACGATAACTGTTTTCTGTTTCCCACTCCCCCCCCCCGCAATGAGCCACTACTTCACGTTTTAACTGTTTTGGGCATACAATGTAGTATTACATGCGTACGGAGTAGTAGTCTGTGCCCACAAAGTAGTTCCTCATGCCTACATTATAGTTGCAGCGTGTGCACAGAGTAGTCTCCGCCCAAATGTCAGGTCTGGGGCTCAGTGTTATTGGACCAATCTGTGTGACGTTATTTTACCCAATATTGATTGGTCTGATAATTATTGTGTTTGCATCCTGACTGAAAAAACTTTTTGGTCATGTTTTTGTTTGTGTTGCCGCAACATTGTGTGTCCTGGGTCATCTGTTATGCTCAGTTCTTTATTCATTTTTCTGTGAGCAAAAGACCAGTTCTTTGAAAGATGATAACACATGGTCGAATCTCACCATCCATCATTGGACGACATTTGTGTATTGTGTATTTATATTGCACACTGTATTGGCAGCAATGGCATTACAGGTAGGAGTTTTATACCCTGTCTCGGGGGTCTTCAATTGTGTTCCGCGAGGGCCACTTCTGTACAGGCAGGAGAATAACCCTCGACGAACAGGAGTGAATACCCCTGCCCTGCCTTTTTTTTTTTTTGAGGAGAGCAGGTTTTTTTGTTTGTTTGTTTGTTTTGGTTTTTTTCCCCCCAAACAGCATAGTTGTGGACAAATATTTGTGAGAAGAAAAACATTTTGGGGGGCACTCAATGGGCAATACACATTTTCAAAATATCTAAGTGTGGACATTGCCTCAATATTACCTCAATACAATATTTACAAGCTACTTGTTTAGTGTCTGATCAAAGCAGACATTTGCAAGAGTCTCGACTGGCTCACTCGGTGTGAGGAGATATCAGGGTGTTAGATTTCGCTTTTTCTTTGTGTGCCCTTGGCAAGCTGTGTTTGTAAATGTCTTTTAACAATATTCACAGCAAGAGGAGGCTTCTCTGCCCATGCTCTCCTTGCCTGCAGCGGTGGTAGCGCCCCCTGCTGTTGAGCAGCCCGTACAGCTAGAGGGTTTGCACCTAGAGGAGCCCCCTGCTGCAGCCGCAGCTCCTCAGGCTGACTCACTTAGCAGCCCCAGTCCTGCCCCTGAGCTTTTTCAGCCCCCACCACCACCACATGAACCCCACCCGTCTGGACCGCCTGGTCCAGAACCAAAGGTACCCGCTGTTTACCACCACCCACTTGGATCGAGCCTGGGCCACAGTCTGCTGTTTTAACTGCCTGTCTTCTCGCACATGCTTTCCACTCGCTCTCTGCATGAATTGCCCACACTGTGTGCCTCACTGAGCCCACTGTGTGCCTCTGGCTCCCAGAGAATGTGTGACATACTCGTCCACATGTACAATGGTGAGACCTGGGAGACCAGAAGGACTGGTAAATCTGAGTCTTTGGCCAGGGTGAAGACCATCCACAACCAGCCCTAACTGTTGCCTTTAACTTCCTTTGCATGGCTCCAAAATGTTTTTTGGGTTCCTTTTAGCTCTAACTCTCTTCCGTAGATGAAAAACGAGCACTTAGAGTGGCATTATTGTAGATGTGTCGTGTTGTAGTGCCAGTAGTTTGACTGACTGAATGTTGGTTGCATGATGAAAGCTAACCTGCAGACAGTACTCTTGATAACGATTTCCGCCAAACAACTCTCCCTATGGAACAAAGTACTCACCTTCGTTCACTGCATTATTTTAATGTTCACATGCTTCGTTCTGAGCAGATGGCCATCAATGAACCTTCTTCCATAGGAAGGGCTTTAACTCCACTTGCTGTCTACAGGCTACACATCATATGTTTGAGATGAGGCCTTTCAGAAATGAAATTGTCTTCACGAAAACCCTTTTTTTTTAAACCACCCAAAAAAAAAAATCACACAAGAAATATAGATGAGCGTCATTCTTGAAAGGCATCTTGTCAAACGGGCATTCAGAACAATTTTGAAACCAAATTGCTTGTATAATTTGCACTTTGACAAATGCCATTAGTTAATTTGGAAAGTATGACTGTATGCTCACTTCCATGAATTTTACTTTTACATTTTGAAGTATTCTGCTGATTCATTTTAATTTGTTGTTGGGGATATCCTTCCCCGACGTTCTGTCTTGAAATACGATGGTGCTTAAAAGTGTGGGATCATCACCATGCGTTGCGTAACAAACACATTCATTGCATATCGTCTCTTCACAGATGTACAAGAAAGACTTGTACAATATGGAGGAACCTGTGCGAATGAACCACGGCCTGAAGCAGTCTATGAGCTACAGTCACCAGCTATCATACCAGGACAAGCAGCCATACCGAGAATACGACCACCCGCCTTACGGTTACGATGGAGGCGGCTACGCAGAACCAAAGTCTCACAACGCTGACTCTCACATGCACTACGACAACCGTGTGCCTCATTACAACGAACACTGGTCCCCCTACGACCAGCAGACCTCGCCCTCCCAGCCCCCGGGTTACCAGCCGGCCCACCAGCAACACATCGGCTACAACCACCGCTCGCCGTACGAGGATGGCCCAAGTAGGGACTACAGCCCTCCTCAGCCTCGATATGAAGACTCCCTTCCTGTGGGATACGATAGCAGAGCACGCCACACTAAGCCTGCGCCAATTCGTTACGATGATCTGCCTCCACCACCGCCACCTGTAAGCTACGATGCCCGCTCTACTTATGAGGCAGATACTCTCAGCTTTCCCATCAACTCGCCTCGGTCTCCAGAACCGCCAAAGCAGTATTACGGTGACTCTGGTCTAAGGCCATCCTACATTCCTGGTCCACATCGTGGCTTCAAGGCAGGGATACATGAGCCTGTGATGAACTGTGAACCACCAATTCTTCCTCCGAAAACAGAGGCCCTCACATCCCCTGGTGAGCCAGCAGTCACTCCTGGATCCAAACCCTTGCCACCCCTCCAACGGGAAGACCCGGAGGAGGACCCGGCCATGAAACCGCAGTCAGTCCTCAACAGAGTAAAGATGTTTGAAAATAAACGGTCCGTTTCGATGGACAGGGCGAAGGAAGGAGAATCGTCAGTTCTCAGGGTACCTAGCTCTTAAATTACCGTATTTTCCGCACTATAGGGCGCACCAAAAAGTCTTCCATTTTCTTAAAAGTTCACCGAGCGCCTTAAAATCCAGTGCATCTTGTGTATGGTCATTACGGTAATATGTCGACCCCAAGATGGCTCCTTGCTGGAGACATGTTTACAATGTTATAACTTGCTGTTGGTTCAGTGAACTGTATCGCTGCTTTATTAAATACGTTTTTGTTGCGGCTCCGAAAAAAGGAGAGTTGTGGTGTTGTTTTTTTAAAACAGTCTCAACAAATGCAGGTACATCTCTGTCCGTCCCCGTGCCTTCTCTTCTTCATTTCCACTCGAGAGGCGTTCAAGACCGCCTCCGAAAAACGTAAACTCACCATTACTTCAATGAAACTACGAAAATTGAAAATAATACATCAAAACTGAAAAGCAAGCGAGGATATCACAAAATAAATTCTATACGTTTTTCAGAGGTGGTCATGAACGCCTCTTGAGTTGAATGGAAGGAGCGTAGCACCATCTAGTGGAGGCATTGTAGATTGCGCCTTATAATGCGATGTGTCCAATGTATGGAAAAAAAAAAAGACAAAATAGCCATTCATTGAAGGTGCGCCTCATAATCCAGTGTGCCTTTTAGTGCGGAAAATACGGTATATAAAACTGAGCAGCATCTGCTATTCTTTTCTCTCATGAAGGAACAATATTGCCGTCACTTTTAAAA